CAAAGTCTAGAAGTTTTTAAGCAGAGGCTGGAGGACCATCTGCTGTGAGTACTTTGATTGTGTGTGATTGGATGGCCCTCAAGGTCTCTTCCAATTCTATGATTCTATGCCCAGGATCACCCAGTGGATTTCCATGTCTGAATGGGATTCAAGCCCTGGTCTCCAGAGTTATAATCTAACACTGAAACCATGCTTGCTGTCCTAACCTCCTCCCAAAAAAACAAATACTATTTTTGAGAATCAAGCCAGTACGAGGTGGTGGAATGGTAAGATAGAAAACAGATATCACCACCTTGGACATTTCTAAATTCTGATTTATGTTTGCATGGTAAAGCATTAACATGCATAAAAGACTGGGCTAAAATACAATGTGCTGGGGTTTTGTTTTTGTTTGTTTGTTTGCTTGTGGGGGGTTTTTTGCAATAAGTTTTCACATATGGAACACAGAGAAGAATGGCTTCCACTTGAACACTGAAATAATATAATGCATTCTATAAACACTGTTCTCTATGCTCTTGTTTACTGAGCATTAAAGCTGTCCAGGTGAAAGAAGTGGGCGTTACAAATTGCTAAGCCCCATGTCTTCCAAATGGGCAATCATAAATATATGATTACTGTAATTTGTGAAAAAATGCCAAGCTGGAAATGGTCACATTAACTTTGTGGTATTTTAAACAACCCAAAAGCTTTCTGCAAGGCAAATACTGAAACTGGCCCTGGAATTTATGTAAGGTTTTTCACTTAAAAATAAAATGAAAAACCCTACATAAATTATGCAAAGTAGAAAAGTTGAAATTTGGGGGGGGGGGGGGGGGGGGGGAAGCTAATAATGACCCTTCAGAAATAATTGGGTAAATGGTTCATAGAAGAAGATTCAATAAAGTACAAAATGCAGCAAATAATGCAAATAAAATTAAACATTTATGGAAAAATGGATAGCTAGTGGCTATAAATAACATTTGTTTTGCACTCTTACCCAATCTCCTTTCCCACATAATCAGAAAAACCCTATTTTAACTGAAACTTGGGGCAAGAAAATAATAAGCACTATTTCTTTGAGTGCAAAAAATGCAAAATGGTTTTTTTTGGCCAAAAATTCCCCAATTATAGGGCACTTCACATGCTTCAGTGCTATGCTCAGTATGCATCTGAAAAATCCCATTTTTATTTTCATTCTCCACACACATACCCTAAAGACCTTTGCTCTCATCATTTCAGAGATGAGTTATGTTTTTTTATTTGCTTGTATGTTTTTTTAGAGGGGAGAACCAAGTATGGTAGTATATCCAAAGCAGAAGAAAATTCAGGCAGCAACATGACTGAAATCTATATTTCTTCACATTTTCTCACCTTGAATGTTCCAATCTCATTTATTAATTTTGAAAAATTTCCTTAAATGGTCATGTCGAAGGACAATACCATGATAGGAATTTCACAGAAGACCTGCATCATATCCACTGGGTTGTGGCAGCACCTATTTGCATACTACCAGTGTATAGATAGATAGATAGATAGATAGATAGATAGATAGATAGATAGATAGACAGATAGATTTAGATTTGCAGGTGCTGTGCATTATGCAATATTTCCAATTATGTGCATTTTTTAAAGAATCTCATCCATATACAGAACAGATTTTACTAATACTGTGTTTTCTGATTATCTTTGGTGACCCCTCTGACAACCCCTTCCGACCTCCCCAGAGGTCCCGACCCCCAGGTTGAGAAACCCTGCTTTATCTGAATGTGTAAAAGAGACATGAAGCAAGAAAGGCGATGGGTTCCCTTCTCTTTTGTAGTCCTTTATTTTTGTGCTTTCATGTACACAGACCCGTACACATGCACAAACTTTTATAGCATATTTACAGAGCAGGCGCACTGAGATGTAAAATGAATAGCAGACTATTCCCAGTTGTTGTTTAATGTCCACTGATATATTCTTGACCCCTGCAAATAAATGACATCAAACCTGTATCACTAATATTAGGTAATTTGGCGGAATAAGAAAACACTTTGTGGACTTACACAAAATAAGTTTAAAATATTAGAGACCATTTGTGATATTCCAGACTTAGATGGATATATTTACTTATTTCTACTTTATAAATCCTGCTTTGCTACTGGTACTCCTTTTTAACTTCTGTTGAGGGAACAAATTATTTGACTCAGCATCTACACTGAGAATTGTCTTCCTGAGAGTAAAATAAAATATTAATTAGAATTCAATAAATTGTTTAGACCTGAGGATTTATCATAAAAGTACAAAAGATCATTAGAAAAGGAAAATGAAGTAGAATTCTAATATTGGATGAAGCGGGGAGAAGACTGTATTTTGGCTAGCATTATTTGATAGGCTGGTTTCCCCATTAGAAGTCTTGTTCACATGTGTATGTATGCCTTTAAGTCGCTTGTTGACCCCCATTAATTTTCATACCATTTTCTTAGGTAAAAAATACTCAAAGATGCATTTGCCAGTTCCTTCCTCCAAGACATAGCCTATAGTGCCTTGACTTACGCAATCTACATTGCATACTTGGATAGTTGTCCATAATTCATATAGTCTGAATTTCACAGCATGTTTGGGGAAAATAATCATATTTTGAAATTAAAAAATAGGACATGTTTAATGACATCACATCAAACCATGATCTCTATTATGGCTCTCACTTAAAGATTCCTACTATATAAGCTGGGGAAACTGCTAAAAAATAGTCCTAACCTTCATTGTATTTAAATAATAATTGATTATTTAGCAATATTTAAAAACACTAACAACTGACCAGGTTACCTGAGCAAATATCCCGACACAATCTGAGATTTAAAGTCCATCACCATATTGGGTCTTCCAAAACTCCAATTCTGAAGGTTTGTACAACTTTGCAAAGCAGCATAACTACATGAGAAACTGTCAAGGGAACTAAAAAAGAAAAGCTGTGGCAGCAAAACTTCCAACAGATAGAGAGTCTTGAGTTGGAGAAAAGGGAGGGAAGATAAACATCCAAGTATTGAAGAGTGAAAAGAAATCCAACACCAATCCATACTATGCAACAGCTCCTTCCTCACTATAACCACTGTTGTTGCCATTCTTTCCTCTTTCTGTGACCTCAATGCAGAATACTGACATTCAATTCATTCACTAAAACCTTGGCCATCTCTTGCAAAAGGATATTCTCCATGGTAGCACATTTTTGTCCCATAGATTCACAATAATTACTCTTATAAAGGCTGCTTGCTTCCAACTTTCAGAGATGTGGGGATCTTGTAATAAAACCTAGATATTTAACCATTCTCAAATAGACATGCAAATTTTCAAAAAGGGAAGTACTTTTACCTACAGTAGCTAGTATTCAATGTTCTCCCATCCAAGTACTACCCAAGCTGATGCTGCTTAGATCCAAGATCAGACAGAATCTGGTTTTATTTAGACTTAAGAGTAATTTATAAAATCAGTAGATGTAGTCTGAGCATTTGCCAGGATAATCATAAATGAGTGTTCATGTCGGATTTATTTCTCGTGTCAGGGCAGCCAGTCAATTATATTACATTTCTAACAGAACAAAGCAAACAAACAGAGAAAATACAAAATGTGTGAGTTTGGTAGTTGATTAAATGTCCTTTGACCAGTATCTGGCCACTTGGAGTGCCTCTGGTGTTGCCGCAAGAAGGTCCTCCATTGTGCATGTGGCAGGGCTCAGGTTGCATTGCAGCAGGTGGTCAGTGGTTTGCTCCTCTCCACACTCGCATGTCGAGGATTCCACTTTGTAGCCCCATTTCTGAAGGTTGGCTCTGCATCTCGTGGTGCCAGAGCGCAGTCTGTTCAGCGCCTTCCAAGTCGCCCAGTCCTCTGTGTGCCCAGGGGGGAGTCTCTCATTAGGTATCATCCGTTGGTTGAGGTTCTGGGTTTGAGCTGCCACTTTTGGACTCTCGCTTGCTGAGGTGTTCCAGCGAGTGTCTCTGTAGATCTTAGAAAACTATTTCTTGATTTAATTCATTGACGTGCTGGCTGATACCCAAACAGGGGATGAGCTGGAGATGTCTCTGCCTTGGTCCTTTCACTATTGGCTGCCACTTCCCGGCGGATGTCAGGTGGTGCGATACCGGCTAGACAGTGTAATTTCTCCAGGGGTGTAGGGTGCAGACACCCCGTGATAATGCGGCATGTCTCATTAAGAGCCACATCCACTGTTTTAGTGTGGTGAGATGTGTTCCACACTGGGCATGCATACTCAGCAGCGGAGTAGCACAGCGCAAGGGCATATGTCTTCACTGTATCTGGTTGTGATCCCCAGGTTGTGCCAGTCAGCTTTCGTATGATATTGTTTCTAGCACCCACTTTTTGCTTGATGTTCAGGCAATGCTTCTTGTAGGTAAGAGCACGGTCCAGAGTGACTCCCAGGTATTTGGGTGTGCTGCAATGCTCCAGTGGGATTCCTTCCCAGGTGATCTTCAGAGCTCGGGATGCTTCTCTGAAGCAACCAGCATTCATGTAGGATAATGGATTAGAACTAGGTACCTCATCAGCTGCAATACCCCCCTCCCCCATTTCTGCACACTTTAAAAACAGTTTAAAGATGGAGTCCCATGCAGTCCATTGCACAACATAAGACTATTCCTAGCAGTTCCCCATGGGACGCCACCTTTAAACTGTTTTTAAAGTGTGTAAAAACGGGGTTTTAGAGCTGGGGAGTGATTGTTTTCACAGCTCCCAAAGGCTAAAGATGCTTATTCTAACATGAGCTGGTAATTGTCAGATTCCCTTGTTTAAATCATTGTAGTGACATCAAAGTGTGGGCATTCCTGAAATGTGCCTCAATGTGCCCTTGCTTGTCATTAATCTCTTGCATGAAACCTTTACAGTATTTTTTAAATAATTTATTTTTAAAAATAATTTATTCTTCAATAATTGTGCAATTTCAATATATTGCCAGTTCACCATAGCTATATTTTCCCCTTTTTTAGACCTAGATTTTGGACTTACACAATTCCGAGGGGCCCATTTATAATTACAATGAAAAAGAAAGCAGTGTAGGCATGAGAGCATTTGTGGGATGTTTCAATATTTGCTTCCTGGTCAATTTATAGACAGACAGGAAATCTGAGACAGGTTGATGCTCCATTGAAGGGAAGTTGTGAATCCACACCAAGAGGAATACTTCATTAAACCTTGATCCCATTGCACTCACATTGTCCACACCATGGGAAGCTTGAGACATTTTTCCCTTTGGTTTAAGAGAGTGCCCAAACTTCCAAATCTTGGATGAGGAATTCCTCTTTAGGAGATAGAGCCTCATTGTTGAATGTCTCACAAGGATGACTTCCTCCATGGTTAAGATCCCCATCTAGCCACAATCCAAATTTGCCACTTCCTCCACCAATTGCTAGAGCATCTGCATCTCCTTTCATGAAGAAGGTATTTTTACCTGTCCATTTAAATACCTTTAGTTGTGGAGTGAAGGAGAAGAGAAAGTTTTCTCCATTGCCATAGAAGCAGCTGCTGACTTGAATGGCTGTGGAAGAAAAGGCACCAAATATCTGGCCATCAGTATCTCTGATAACCAACAACACAGGGGAAGCCAACTCACTCATGCTCCGATACATAGACTTCAGGCTAAACCCARCCCGTGCGGTACAGTAGATGAGGTTCCACGGGTGTCCTATCACTCGTACAGGTAAATGTGGTGCAAGCTTCTGTATTTCTTCTAAGTGCATGATGTTGCTTTGTCCGTTCAGCACAGGCTGATGAAATTCTTCTGTGAACAAGGCTGGGTTATCAGGGTTTGTCCTGACTGGGTCCTCTTCCTCTTCAGATGAATCTTCTGACTCTAGAGACAGTGCTTCCTCTAGCAGGTTGGGCAGAAGAATGTAGCCATGATATCGCCGAGGAGTTTTCATCTTCTCGGTGAATCTCCAGCGTGAGACCAAAACAGGTTCTCTTACCAGACAGCAAGGAAACAGGGGAGCGGAGAGCAGGTGTTTGCCAATAYACGCTGGAGAACACTCCCTTATAAACACTGTGTTTTATTGCTTCTCTATAAGCAGGATCTCTTATTGRTGTACCGCTGCTGTCACATTGGTCTGAACAGGGTTGCTTGGAAGAGTTCTTCTAAAGCGCTCCTAGGAAAGACCGTATTAACAGGAGTTCAATATATATGTGATGCATCTGGTGCAGAGATGTTCTTTTCCTGGAGCTTTTCTTGCAATGAGTGGCCAGGACTCCTCCCAAGTTTAGTGTAGGCAGGAACAACACTCGCCCATAAGATAGCTCAGAATATAGAGGGTTACTGTAGAAACAGACAAAGGTACATAATGTATATTATCCGTTTTCCCTATAAACAGACTGCTATGAAATGCTAGAATAAAGAAAATTATCCCCCCCCCCACTTTCTCCACACCCTCCCCCCCAATTGAATGAGGTCCTAAGAAAAGTTCAAATTCAGTCCTTGTGTAGCCAAATCCACTGGATCACTTTTGGACAAGTCTGTCTTTCGGTTTAAACTCAAGTACAGAGTTGTAAAGATAAATTAGAGTTTGAGAAGAAAGTTGACTTGAGTTTCATCATCTGACAATGGCAAGTTTTAAGCCTATAATGCATAAATAGCACCATTTCACCACTAAAGATTACTGCAAGGTAAGAGGAATGGTAATCTAAAACCATCAATAGCAATATTCTGATTACAGCCTGCCTCAATGATTCTTACCAAATATTTACATATCTCAAAATCTCAAGCCTAGTGTTCCTAACTTAATTTCGGCTAATTTACTACCTTTCCACATTCTTAGCATCCAGTGGTGCTTCAGTAAAAGTTTTACCATGTTAAATACTCAAGACAAATCAAACCATTCGCTTTTTAACACAAAGTCTATCAATCACAGCAATCTTTGTAACTCTTGGTAGAGGCAGCTTTTATTGATTGCTGGAGATTGATGTTCTCTGAGCTTGTTCCTTGATTAACTCATTCCTCAAGATACTTCATTAGGAAAAGCCCTCCATTGTGGAAAACACTGTTTACACAGAGACTTTGAATCCCCGTCAATCAATTAGATATGCTTTCTGGGTTGCATTCTCCCCAGTAATGTCTTGTAGGGAAGGGTTGGAGTCGTGTTCCCCCTTCAGCCTAAGGGCCAAGAATCTGTTTTCTGGTCACCTTTCTCAGACCACAGGAGATCTTGTAAATACTGTGACCTCTCACACCAGAACCTGATATATCATCTGATTGCTGTTCAGAGGATCAGTAGAGGAATTTCTTTAACACAAGGGGAGGTTGACCAGCAATGTGACCTTCTGTAAAGACAATATCAAGCCACTTCCTTTGAGAGACTGAAAATGACTTTTTTCGTTAAAAGGTATTTGTGGGTGTAATCTGCTCTTCTGGAGGAGATTGATGTTCTCTTTAGCTTGTGTGACTGATTCGTGCAAAGCATCCTCGTGTCTTATATAGTGAATAGAGAACTAGTGAAACGTGGGGAATTTTATAAGCCAAAACGTCTTAAGCACATCCTAAGTGACTGTCCTAATTATAATTCTGAACTGTGATATCATTTTTATTTTCATTCTGGAACATTTGTTTCTGTAATAGAACAAAAGAAATACAGGGTGTTTCAAAATGATGGACCCAATTTTAAAGCATAATATTTCATGATGGCAGCATGTTACAGTTACGCAAACAGTTACAAACAGTTGAATCAGCTAGCCAGTTATCAGGTTGTACTAATATTTCTGAGCCAGAAATGAATCTAAAACTATAACCCCACAAATGGAGAATATCTCATTAGGCCTTATGTTGTGGGGTTGGCATTTTGCGAATGACTAGAGGCTCTTTGTGTGTTGGGTGAAGCATCCAACAGTAATCATTTGAAACTCTATGTTCCACCAATGCAAGCGATAAGGAGTTCATTCATGGGCAGTTCATGGTTGCAGAGATATAGCAATTTCAAATTAGGTCCATCATTTTGAAACACCCTGTCCAATATGAAGATAGTAATAGTTTGTTGTGCATCCTCTGGTGATGCAGCTGTTAAAGCGCTGAGCTGCTGCACTTGCTGACCAAAAGGTTGGTGGTTCAAATCCGGGGAGCAGGGTGAGCTCCCGCTCTTAGGCTCATCTTCTACCAACCTAACAATTTGAAAACATGCAAATGTGAGTAGATCAGTAGGTACCACTTCTCTGGGAAGGTAATGGTGCTCCATGCAGTCATGCTGGCCACATGACCTTGGAGGTGCCTATGACAACACTGGCTTAGAAATGGAGATGAGCACCACCCCCCAGAGTCGGACACAACAATACTTAATATCAGGGGAAAACTTTATCTTTACCCTTAATAGTTTGTTGTAAATAAATATGCTTAAGAGTTAACTTAAATCTCACAGTTGCCTGATTCTGCACTAGTATGTATCACAACAATTACCCCTTTTGTACTATGGTGAAGCAGGATTCAATAGAAAAGTTTTCATCCCAGTCCAATCCTATCAAAATATCCTGCACCTATACTGCCCTGCTCGGTGATAGTGTAGAAAAAAGATTTCCTTAGGAGCAATGCCTTAGTATGAGCTATACTGTAAAACTATTTGGGAGAAAGCTTTTGTGCACAATATTAGTTTTGTACATACTGCAGTATTCAATCTATACACTGTCTGACATTTGGTAGAAACCAGAATGAATAAAATGGTTCAGGACAAAACATACCCAAGTTAACATATCAAGAGTTAGATACCACAGTTCAAGATTTGCCCATTTCTTATAAATGTCTCATTTTTTATTTCATTTGTAAGTGGAAGAATTCAGCAATACTGATTAAACCAAGGTTGCCTCATAGTGGTTTGGATGCCATAGTTTTGATCACACAGCAATATTTTACCACAGTGTCATCGTCTTATATTTAAAAGACATAATTTTAATAGAGAAATAACAGAGAGGCACTATAAGGTTCTCTAGTCCTCCTTTCAGCATATGTGTTGTTCTTTTATCCAACAACATTTAAAGAGTTTTCTATTTATCTTAAGAGTATCTATTCAGTGTATTTCTCTGAATTACATCACTTCTCACGTTTGAAACATAAACATATGTAGTAATACTTCCATGGAAAGAGAATGAGGGACCAAGAAGATTACACAATCAAGAATTATAGCCAAGAAGACTATAAAAGTCCACATCTTCAGCATTTGTAGTAATAATATAAATGGGGAAAAAACATGTATGTGGGAAGCTGTATGTATGAAGCAGATTTATTCCATCTACATCTAAGGACTGGAACACAGACACAGTTTTAATCTATAATGATCCAATGGACTACATATCACATGCATATTGTTTGGCCCTGCTCACAAATATCCTTTTAAATGAAGATGCCAGTAGAGAACATCTGGAGTACTTTGCATGAAAGGCCTATGTCCTATCATTGAACTGTGACACTTGCAACATCTTTGTATGGAGAAGTTGTTCCCATAAATTTGAATAATAGTAAATGTAGGTGTTGCCTACATGCTGCCCTATTAATTGAAGTGCTATGAGATCACACAATGTTCACCTCTACCTTGAGATCACCACTGGGAAATTCCTTGTAAACAATAAAGCTGTGGTGGAAGCAGAAGAAAGGTTTTAACAGAGAAATAAAAGCCTGGAAAGGCTAGGAAAAAGAGGGTTGACTGCTATAAAATCTATGTTCCTCTGGACTTTTACCAAACTGATACTGCCATCATCAGATAAGACTCTCCCCCCACCCCGATCAAGAACCTCATATCACATTTACCATCCCCTAAAAAGGCCCAATATGTATCTACCCTCCCCATTCTGTATTCAATCTGTACCTAAAAACATTGTGTCTTGTGGTATGGGGAGGGGAGCAGGGAGGGTATAAAAAAGAATAGCTGAAATGCTATGGGGAGACAGATGGGGAGTGGGAGGGGAAGAGAAGGGGTCTATGTTGTTAATTACAGCAATAATACGTTTCATGCTTATGCCAATGTTTGATGTTTTTGTAGTTTTAATGGTTTTAATCTACAGTTATATGTTATTGATTTAGATATGTGATAATTTTATATATGTGTGAAGCATTTGAATTTGCCATTTATTATGTTGTAAACCTCTTTGAATCCCCCAGGGGTGAGAAAAGCGGTATAGAAATGCAGTTAATAAATAATAAATATATATATATATACACACACGCATATACACACAGACACACACACACTACTTTTCTCTCATGGTGGAACTCCAGGCAACATGCATGGCATTTTCATTCAGTCTACAATGCAAGCACTAATCAGATACAGAGCTGCTCGCTTTAGCAATTAAACTACATTATGTGTCACAGATTATAAATAATAAACAATGGTATTAGAGTTGGCAAAAAAAAAGTCTGGGAACTAAAAAGGGGGAAAACCAAAGGAAAAGGAGCCAGTAAAACAACACAGTTAGTGGGAGAAAGTGGGGCGTTGGCAGTAGGCTGACCAACAGGAACCCAAACGGAAGCGGTAGAAGACTGATGTAACAAGAAAATGTTGATGTGGGAGTTAGGTAGAAGGAAAGATCAATAATGAAAGGGAACATTATAAAAATCTTATGCATGCTGAGCTCAAGGTGCAGAGATCGAGGGTGGGCACAGGGGGGGGGGCAGGTACTAGAGAAGAATGGGGAATGTTGGCCATGTAGATTAATTGAGAGTAGGAAAAAGGAGCATCTCTGATGAGGAAGGAATGATTCTTCTCAGAGTTAGTGCACTCAAGAGGTTTTGTTCAAGAGGTCTTGTTCAATAGCTCCAAGTCAGCTTGTAGGAAGTGGGCTGTTCTTTACTTATTTGTCTGAGATAAGTAGCAGTGTCTGAGACTGAGCCTGTTTGTTTCAACTTACTAAGCCATTAATGATAGTTTTTTTTAAAAAAAAAGTTCCATCGTTAGAATTTTCTATTTACAAATCTCAAATTACAAAAATCATTGATACCGTGGACTAGAAATCTGTGTTCATCTTGCACTAAGTATGCATTTAGTGCCCCCAGTTTGCT